GCGCTGATAGGCAGAGGGCAGCTATAGGGAGGCACGTGCTTGTAGGGTGCTCATAGGGAGGGGGGCACTTGCGGGGAGAGGGGCGCTTGCAGGGGGAGGTGAGTGCTTGTGGGGAGATGGGTGCTTATAAGGATGTGAGTGCCTATAGGGAGACGGGCGCCTGTAGGGAGGCAAGTGATAAAGGGAAAAGGGTGCTTCTAGGGAGGGGAATGCTGTAGGGGGACGGGCATCTGCAGGGGGCTGGGGGCTCGCAGTGAGGTGGATTTAACGCTGCTCCCCCACAGGGATCCCGCGCCCGCCGCACCCCCCCGAGCTGCCCCCCTACTACCCGCTGTCTCCAGGAGCCGTGGGTCAGATCCCGCACCCGCTGGGCTGGCTCGTGCCGCAGTAAGGATGGGCCCCTCCTGCCCCAGCCCCGCCGCGTCCCCGGCCCTCACCCCCATGGGCTGCTTTGTTCCCAGCGGCCCTGGTGCGATGGGGTGGGGAAGGGAGGGACTGCGCTGCGGTGGAGATGTGGGATGTTGTCCCCCTGGGGATCAGCTGGGGACCCAGCTGAGGGTCCCGGTGGCCCAGGGAGGGGCCTTGTCCCTGTGGCTGCTGCAGCTCGTGCATTTGCAGGCAAGGACAGCCCATGTACTCCATCCCCCCCGGCGGCTTTCGGCACCCCTACCCTGCCCTCGCCATGAATGCCTCCATGTCCAGGTGGGTCCCAGTGTCCTGCTGGGTTCTGATGGGTCCCCGTGTCCAGGTGGGTCCCTGTATCCTCGTGGATCCCCACGTCCCCATGTGTCCCCATGGCTGGGTGGCTCTGAACAGGGACAGGGGACCTCCTCAGGCATTTCTGAGCTGGATCACAGTTTTGGCCACATCCCATGGCGCTGACCTCCCTGACCTGTGTGTGGGTGAGACCAGCCTTGGGTGACCGCAGTGGCCCACGCTGGCCAAAAACAGCCCCACAGTGACTCTCTGGGTACAGAGCAATGCCCCTGGCTCCACTGTGCCACGTGCCAAGCTGAGCCGCAAAGCAGTCCCCAGCAGATCGGGGTTGAGGATCTCTAATCCTAGGAGGTCCTCAGTAGCATTTGGGGTGACATTCGGGGCCGTCGGTGCCTATTTGGGGCTGACAACTTTGCTCCCTCCGCTGCAGCCTGATGTCCAGCCGCTTCTCCCCACACATGGTCCCACCGCCCACCCACGGGCTGCACCCCTCAGGCATCCCACACCCCACCATCGTCTCACCCATCGTGAAGCAGGAGCCAGCCCAGCCCAGTGCCAGCCCCGGCAGCAGCTCGTGAGTGGGGACCTGAGGGGGGGAGTGGCCTTGGGGATGGGGACAAGATGGGGACAGAATGGGATGGGGATGTGGATGGGAGTGGGGATGGGATGAGGGTAAGAATGAGGGGGAGGTTAAAGGTGAGGATGGGATGGCATGGGGATGGGGATGGGGATGAAGATGATAATGAGGATGAGGATGGCATGGGGTGGAACAGGAATGGAGATGGAATGGGATGGGAACAGGGACATGAGTGAGGATGGGATGGGATGGGATGGGATGGGATGGGATGGGATGGGATGGGATGGGGGTGGGAATGGGATGGGATTGGGGTTGGGGTGGGGGTGGGGATGGGGTGGAGTTAGAATGGGATTGGAATGGAACAAGAATGGGGACAGGGATGGGGATGGGGATGGGGATGGGATGGGGATGAGGATGGAATGGGATTGGGATTGGGCTGGGGATGGGGAACTGAGCTGCGTGTTGCTCCCTGCAGGAAGTCCCCCGTCACAGTGAAGAAGGAGGAGGAGAAGAAGCCCCACATCAAGAAGCCGCTCAATGCCTTCATGTTGTACATGAAGGAGATGAGGGCCAAGGTGGTGGCTGAGTGCACGCTGAAGGAGAGTGCGGCCATCAACCAGATCCTGGGCCGGCGGGTACGCGTCTCCCTCGCGCCTTCAGCCGCCTGCACACCGCTGTGGCAGTGCTGGGGACCTGCTGGCGGTGCTGGGGACCTGCTGGTGGTGCTGGGGACCTGCTGGCGGTGCTGCCCTGTGTCCCCGGGCTCCGCAGCACTCTTTCCCCTCGCAGTGGCACTCGCTGTCGCGGGAGGAGCAGGCCAAGTACTACGAGCTGGCACGGAAGGAGCGGCAGCTGCACTCGCAGCTCTACCCCACGTGGTCAGCCCGCGACAACTACGTGAGTGTGACCCACATCCCCAGAAGTCTGGTGGGGTTGGGGGCTGAGGTCGGTGGGGCAGAGGACCTGGGGATGCTGTGCTGCTGGCTCATGTCACCTGCCCTGTGTCACCATGACCCCAGTGTCACCGTGAGCCTCTGTTCACTGTGATCCCATGTCACTGTGACCCCAGCGTCACTGTGATCAGCCCAGTGTCGCCGTGATGCCATGTCACCACGTCCCCTGTGTCACCATGATCTCCAGTGTCGCAGTGATCTCGTGCCACTGTGTCCCGTGTCACCGTGATCTCTGTCACTGCAACCCCCTCTGTCACCACGATACCCCGTGTCACCGTGAGCCTTGATGTCACCACGTCCCAGTGTCACCACGTCCCAGCGTCGCAGTGCGCCATGACACCGCATCCCCGCCCCTCACGTTTTGTCCCTCCATCGCACCTCAGCGCTTTGCAATACTTCACAGGGCAAGAAAAAGAAGAGGAAGCGAGAGAAGCTGGCCCAGCAGCAAAGCCACGAGGCAGACAGTGAGTACCTGGGCGGGAAGGGGCCACCACATCCCCCCCCACCCCCACCCTCAGCGCCCACCCCGCACCCCGCAGGCGCGCTGCCCTCCAGGAGCAAGAAGCCGTGCGCCCCGCACCACCTGCCTCCCGACAAACCCTGCGACAGCCCGGCCTCGTCCCACGGCAGCATGCTGGATTCGCCTGCCACGCCGTCGGCCGCCCTGGCCTCGCCGGCTGCGCCCGCCGCCACGCACTCGGAGCAGGCGCAGCCGCTGTCGCTCACCACCAAGCCGGAGGCCAGAGCTCAGCTCGCCTTCCTCTCCAGCAAATCCTCCTCCTCCTCCTCCTCCTCCCTGGGCTCCCCCCCGTCGCTGCTCCCCAGGCCCATCGCCTTCCCCTCGCTGCTGCTCTCCTCCCCGTCGGCCCCGCAGCAGACGCAGCCGCTTGCGCTGGTCACCAAACCGGCCGACTGAGGGGGGTTGAAGAGGAGCCCCCCGCCTGCTGAGCGCCACCGACGCCACAATCACGATTCCCGACGCAGCCAAACCATTATTGGTCAATATTTGACCTTTTCTGAACTGTTTTTTTTTGGTGGGTTTTTTATTTTTTATTTTTCCTCTTTTGGGAAGCAGACTCTGGAAGAAGAGCCGCTTTCCCTTACCAGCAGTCGACCTGAAGACTGTTTTGATTAAAAAAGAAAAAAAAAAAGGGGGAAAAGAAGGGCTTTTTTTTTTAATTTTTATTTTTAAGAAAGAATAAAAGAAAAAAAAAAAAAAAAAAAGGACCCTTCCTCAAGGGAGAGTGCTGGGCATCCAGCGCCGGTGCCCCCAATGCTCCCAGTGCCCCCAGTTCCATCCCACTGCAGCTGGACGTGGCCCCCAGCGCGGTGCTGGGCTGGGGGCTGTGGGGTAGGGATGGGGGTGGAGGGCTTTGCCATCGAATCCCTGTTATTTTTCACAAAAACAAAACAAAGAAAGAAAAAAAGGAAATAAAACCCCAGCTGCAACTTTGCTGCGTGAGCGTGGTGCGTGCAGGAAGGCGCAGATTGGTGGAGCTCTGCTTTCCTCTGCTGTCCTCTGCAAATCACTGCTGCTGATATCAGCCTGGAGCCCCCGCGGCTCCCACAGAGCCAAAACACTGCTTTTTTTTTGGTCAGAAAAACCAAAAATCCGCAGTCCTGCGAGGGAATGCAGCCGTGCTCAGCCGACACCGGGAGCGGGATGCGGCCAGCAGCCTTGAATGGGATTTCATGGGAAATTAAAGGCATGAAGAGACCTGTCACAAGAATTAAAGTCTGGACCGCGGCCAGACAGCTTCAAACAGATGTTGGACTTCAGCAGGAGAATATTTCTTTGTTTCGCTTGGAGTTTTCCCATACGGAGAAGCAACATCTGTTGGGTGCTCTCCGGGTTCGGAGACCCTCCTGCTGCAGGGGAGAGGCACACGGAGCTGCTGCTCGTGGGGCTGCATGAAGGCATCGAGTCCTGCACGGCCACATTCAGCCCTGCACAGGGCTCTGTGGCTGGGGCAGCAGCACACGTCCCCCCGTCCCCGTGCCACCAGGCAGCTGCCATCTCCCTTTGGATGACATCTCGCCGTGCCCCACTGGCACACAGCACCCGGAACCCATTTTTCTTTGGGTCACCCCATCCCTTGTCCTTATTGCGGCCATCAAACAGCCCCCCGGCACGTCGCGTCTCCCCCACCCTCCCAGAGCAGCGCTGGCCATTCATTAATTGAAATGCCTAATGAGGTCCCGGGGGTCTCCTGCGGACACGGAGCTAATTAGGGGCTCCCCGGGACCGTTCCTTGCGGGGGGTCGCGCCAGATGTCGCCCTGCCGCTCCGTACCGCGCTGAGCCGTACCGAAGCAGCCGGGAGCAGAGGTTACAGCTCATACATTTTAATTAGCGTCGTTCACTTCTCCCATTTGCTAATGGCTTTGATCCCGTATCCCGCCCAGCTCAGCGGACCTCGGGGCGCAGCGGCGGGGCCACGGGATGGGAGGGGAGGGGGTCCGCTGCCGCCGGGAAGCCTGGCCGTGCTCCGAAGGGGTCGCAGCCAAGAAGCGACGCCCCTCGAGCAGAAGGGCGCCGCGAGGCCCCGCGCCGCCGGCTCTTCTCCCAAACCCCGCTCTGACCCCAAAGCGCAGCCACGCAGCTCTGCGCCTGCGCGCGGCCCTCCCGCCAAGCACCGACGTCTGATTTGCATAGCAGAGCCCCTGATCTGCAAGCCCCGCCTCCTTCCATAGAATTCCCGCCCCCTGGTGGGGCGCGGCCCACGTGCGCGACCTCCTGCCGGAAGTTACGTTTCCTAGCGGAACCGGAAGCGGAAGCAGGCCGTAGCGGGGTGAGAGGAGAGGGGTCGGCATGGCGCTGCGGCTGCTCTCGCTTTTGCTGCTGCTGCTGCTTGGCATCGCCGCCGAGACCACAAACCAGGATGGTGCCGGGACCGGGACCGCAGGTAGCGCGGGGTGCCCGGGGTACTGGGGGGAACCGGGAGCAGCTGGGGGTCCGACTGCCGTGGGTTTTACACTGGCGCTGGGTCTGCGGGGGGGGTCTGGGCGCCTCCTGAGCGCGGTGGGAGGTGGCGCAGGGCTGGGGGCGGTCCCCGGAGGACGCCGTGCCGCCGGGTTTCCCCCGTTTAGGCGCTGCCCTTCCAGCCCCCTTATGGGAGACTGTAGGCTGCTTTTGGCGGAGGTGGGCTGCGGTGGCCGGGAGCTGTTTAGCGCAGCCACACGCGCTTCTGGCACTGACTGCGGGCGCAGGTGGTAACTGCGGTCCCGGTGTGTTTGCTGACAGGCGTTGAGCAGGAATCAGAGAACTCAAAGTCCACCAAGCCTTCAACAAGCGCTGGAGAAGATGGCAATGCACATAATGGAGATAATGGAGGGGCAACGGGTGAGAAGGGAGGTGCAGGTGATACAGATCAAAGCAAAGTTCTGAAAAAGGAGGAGGAGAACCGGCACAAAGAGACAGGGGAACAAGATGAGAAAGGGAAACAAGGCACTCAGGGCCAAGACACCAGCCAGAGCAACAGCAACGATAACAGTCCATCTGGCAGTAACACTGCTAGCCAACCCAACACCCAGAACAGCAACAGCCAAACTGACACCCATGATGGTGCCCACGAGCAAAACACCCCCAACAACAACCGTCAGGACAGCAAGACAGACAGCCAAGGCAATCCGACCAAGCAAAATGGCAATACTAGTGGCCAAAATGGCCAGGAAAATGGCAACACTGATGGCCAAAATGGACCAAAAGGTGGCAACACCAATGGCCAAAATGGCCAGAAGGAGCATAGTGACAGCACCAACAGCCAGACTAATGAACACCAGGACAACACCAACAACCAGAATAATCAACACCAGGACAGCAGCAACAGCCAGACCAATGAACACCAGGACAACACCAACAACCAGAATAATCAACACCAGGACAGCACCAACAGCCAGACCAATGAACACCAGGACAGCACCAACAGCCAGACCAATGAACACCAGGACAACACCAACAACCAGAATAATCAACACCAGGACAGCACCAACAGCCAGACCAGTGAACACCAGGACAGCACCAACAACCAGAATAATCAACACCAGGACAGCACCAACAGCCAGAATAATGAACACCAGGACAGCACCAACAACCAGAATAATGAACACCAGGACAGCACCAACAACCAGGATGACCAGCAAGGTAGCAGCAACCAGCAACATGACAATGCCAACACACAGGACAGCAGCCAGGGCGCCCAGGCAGGCTCACTGGGAAATAACAGCCCGTCCTCGCCATCAGTTTCATCTGTTCATGTCACCGAAGGCTCTCCAGATGGTGACGAACTCCCTGAGGAAGAGGATGGGGTTGGAAATGGGAACGGTGCTGCCTTATTTAATAAGGAGAGAGAGAAGAGTGTTCCCATTGCTCCGGGGCAGAAGTCAGAGAACAGCCACTTCTTCGCCTATCTGGTGACCACGGCGATTATTGTTGCTGCTCTCTACGTTGCCTATCACAACAAACGGAAGGTGAGTGGCTCTGCTCCTTGCCCAGGTTCCCCCCTGTGGTTTAAGAGCTTCCTTCCCAGTCGTTGGGCAGTGCTGCAGGTGGGGGCACGCTCCACTGCAGATCTTTCCCCTTTGCTGCTCTCATTCTTGCCTTTTGCTTCCTGCTCAGGCCTCCTGCCTGCTGCCTGGGTTTGGTTAATGTTTAATTGGAGGACTTGACCTCAACAGCTTTGAGATGAGCAGGGAGGAGTGTTGTAACCAGGAAAGCGTTTGGATCTCGGTGGAGATGGAGGGGCCTTGGCTCCAGTGGGTATTTTCAGCAGTGAGAAATGGAGCTGAGGGAGGAGAAAAGGAAAAGACGTGTGCAGCTGCTCCGTGTTTCTCTCAGATGCTGAGTTTTCTGCAGCAGGTTGCCAAAGCCTTGTCTTTAACTCGCACTGCAGGGGGAATGCAGCCCAAGTGACAATGCTCATCTTTTCTGCTGTTTTTCTCCCTCCTACAAAGCTGTTTTTGAAGTAGGAGAGGGAGCAGCTTTTTTACTGTTTTCTGCATGTTGGGAAAGCCTCATGATTTCTTGTTTTCAGTCTTAGCTGCTTTTGAACGATGACTTTTGTTTCAAGTGCTTTTAGAAGGAGGCAAGCGAGGCTCCTCATTAGCCCACTAGAAAGCTGTTAGAGGTCAGAAAGACTGCAGGAGGTCGTTGGTGTCCTGCTCACCTTGTCCCTGCCTCTCTCTCCAAAGATCATCGCTTTTGCCCTGGAAGGGAAGCGATCCAAGGGCGGCCGGCGGCCCAAATCCGGCGATTATCAGCGGCTGGATCAGAAGGTAGGGGGGGCTTGGAGACGTCCGTCTTGTTTTCCCCTTGAAACTGTTTTTCTTCTCTTGTCTTCCATGCATCTTTCACATCGTTTTAGCTTCCCTTTTTTCCCTTTCCAGATCTAGATTCCTCCTCAGGTGTTCAGTGGAAGAAAGGTGCTTGGCAGCGATGAGACTGGAATGGCGGGGCCGCGCCGGCTGGCTGCCTGCTGTAGCACTGAATCGTAGCTTTGCTGTTGTCTTCAGACCTCGGAGAGCAGGAGGAAGGGGAAATGCTTTTACTTTTGCACCTGCACCTTGGTAATGTTTGATTCTCACTTCCTAAAAATGTGTTTCTCCTTTCTCAACTGCCTGAACCGGTTTCCGCTTGGGTGCCTGGCTTCTAGACATGGCCCAAGAGAAGCCAGCTCTGGCACTTGACAGAACGTTGGTGTCCAAATGAAATGGGCCTTTCCATCTGCTGTACCCACGTCTCCTCTTGAAAAAAAAATCCGCCTGCAAAATGAGCCACGTGATTCCTTTCAGTCACGGAGCTGCTGTGAGCAGCGCTGTCCTGCTGGAGGCACGGACGTTCTTCCTCTGTCCATTGTATTTGGATGCTAAAGTTGAAGCGTGATTGCACTAGCTTGGAAATGATCTGCCAAGGACTCTGTTTGGCTTTGTTTCTTTTCTTCCTCTCCATGATGAAGGCAATGTTCGCTTCACGTCCCACTCCTCACTCAGTGCACTTAACGGAGCTGCCTTCGACCCTCGGTTCTGTCTTAGACTCCCTCACTTGCTCTGTGGCAGTTGTGCTCCGTGTGGCTCTGTTCCCTCGTGGTCCTCGCAGCTGAGATGCTTGCACTAATGAGGACAATTAGTTTGATGCTGCGAAAGCGAGCCTCTCAGGCTTATGAGGTTCTGTGCCAAACAGCTGCAGCGATGGAGCGAATTTCACCTCCAAGGATGACTGCGTTCCCCGTTGTTGGAATGTCATCATGATGATGCAGAGTGGTTGACAGTCCTGAAGCATTTGGGATGAATGAAACTCGCAGTCATTCAAACCTCTTCCTGTCCTTCAGTGCTGAGCTCTGCAGCAGGAGAGGCGCAGCTCCTGCTGTGAGCAGGTTTGTCCTGCAGCCCCCAAACCCCTCTCTCCTCTCCTGCTGCTCTGTGCTCCCCTGCTTTGGGAGGTTTCATGTGGTTGATGTTCACCTCACCAGCAGCTTATTGCTGTTTTCTCAGCTTTGCTGTGGGACACTGAAATGAGGGCCGGGGATGGACTAGCACTGGTTGTACTGAAGGCTGCAAAACATGTTGATTCCTGAGCTGTTTTGCTGGTCTTATTTTTGTAGTTTTGCTCCAAAGATGTTTTACTTGAGACAGGGCGCTTCTGAAGGATGTGTGTAAAGTGCCTGCCTGGCTTCTTTCTTTCTTTGTTTTTCCTAATGGGCAGAAAGTGACGGCTGTGGTTCATGGAGGGCTCTTCACACGGGTGCTCATCCCCCCCAGAGCTGCACAGAGGAGTCCTGTCCCCACTGTGAGGCCGGGGGGGGGCTGCCTGTCCCCAGCCCTGCACCAAGGGTGAGCCGCCCACAGCTGCGGGGTGACGAGGGCAGGAAGTTCCCTTGTCTGGCCGTGAAGGCTACAGCTGTGTTCTGATTTCCCAGCACAAAGGGAGAGAGGGACAGAGCCCCTCTTGCCTCGCACCTCTGGGAACGACTCCTAGGGCTTCTTTTCCCTTCTTAACGCTGTTAGGATTTGTGCCACGTGTTTCAAACCGCTCAAGGAGCGCGAAGCCTTTTCCCTTTGGCCGTGGCACTGAATGGTGGTGTCTGTGGGTACGTGTTTCCTCCAGGTGGGGCTGCTCCTGGGCCCGCTGCCTTGCTGGTGCGAAGCAGCGCAGTTTGTTTCCTGCTGCAGTGCAACGCGACTTGCTTTGAAGGACCAGAATTTTTATATTGCTTTGTACTTTTCTTTTTTTTTTTTTTCCCCTGTGTGGTAAAGTCAATAAATGGTTTAAAAAAATACGGAGTTTTGAGCCCTGTTCTGTGTCTGCGTGTCTATAAAAGCTTTGAAGCCCCATCTCCGGTCTCTTTGATCATCGCTCATGCTCTGGGCTCTGTGCAGAGCCTCCGTTTGTGGATGCAGGCTCAGCCCTCACACGACCAAGCACCCTGCAGCCGGAACAGAAGGAGAATTCCTTTTGCTTGGAGGCTGTTTGAAAAGCTCCTGCCTGCTTTGCCTCTCACCCAGCTGGCCCTTGGTCAGCAGCAGGCGAGGGTCTGCATTCCCTGCTTCGCCCACAGGGAGGCTTTTGGAGCAGCACCCAGCGCCGGGTGGCTGAGGAGCGCAGGGCAGGCGAGGTGCAGCGCGGTGCTTCCTGCAATGGAACTTTCCCCCACTTTCTGCCCTTGTGCCTCCAGTGTGGCAGAGGACGAGCTGGGAGGAGGAGGGGGCTGTGTGTGGTTTTTTACTTCTCACCTTGACTGGGTCGCTGAGAGCCTGGGGGAGGCAGAACGGTGAAAACAGGAGATTAAAAATGAAAACTTTGATGGTGTGTTGGGCTCTTTGGAGCCTTCCTAAGGGGTGGAAGCACTGCTGTGTGCACCTTCAGTGTCATTTCCCAGAGAAGCAAGAATCGGGCTCCTCCAACAGCTCCAAGCCCCATGCCCAGCTTCACCCTGAGCTGCTGCAGGGGTTTCCAAACTGTTCTCTTGCTACGGGCAGAGCCAGTGCACGGGGAGGGAGCAGCTCAGGAGGTCCCCCAACAAGAGGCAGCGCCATGAGACGCTGCAGCGCGGGGCTGTCGGGGCCGAGGCACCAGCGCTGTGCCGAGGGTCGAAGTCCTGCTGATGGAGCCCGAAGTTCTCTGAGGGCAGGGCTCTGCTATCAGAGCTGTGCTGCTCAGGGTTGAGAAATACCGACGCCAGCCCAGATTGTCTGAGAGGCTCTCGGGGTGGAGACGAAGCAGATTTAATGGCTGAGCACACAGGGTGAGCCGTGCAGGCGCTGCGGGGAGGCTCCGTTGTGCTCGGTTGTGTGCCAGAGACAAGGGGAAGCCTTGAGCAAAAGCATGGGGCCACGGGGTGTCCCAGCCCCTCCGTCCCAATGGAGCATCACCCTCCCCTTCCCCGCAGCAGGAGGAGGTTCACAAAGATGCAGCTTTTGGTCGTGAGCTGAGATCTGCCTTGGTGAACGTTCCCAAAGCCGTGCCCTCACTCCCGGTCTGAGTCAACCCGCCTGACCATCGGTCTCTGTTTATTTTTTAGGTTTGGAATGAAGAATCAATCGTAAGGACCAACAGCTTGGGCCTGCTGCCATCTTTACACCACCGCCGTGTTTTCCTTGCAGGCAGGGCAGCAGGCAGGTAAACATCAGCCTTTCTTCCCTCAGAAGAAAAGCCTGTGTTTTGTGCAGGGTCACCCGGATAACAGGATCGATAAAGCGGAGCTCACAGCACTGAGGCTCTTTCATGAAGGAGGCGGGGGGGAGAAGTGAGCGCCGCTGGAGGGTGCGCTGGGCTGCCATGGGGCAGCAGGTGACGTCCAGCCCAGTACATCGTGATGGGGGAACGACGCACCCCAGAATTTCCTCGCACCCTGGGCAGCTCCAGCACAACCCGGGGTGCCTTTGTGCCGGGGTTTCTGTCGTGTTTCTTCATTTCCCCTAAGAGGCTGCAGGCTTCTGCCTCTCCTCCTCCGTCCCTCCCTGTGTGTCTGTGCTGGGCAGGGCTTCACTCGCAGCCGAGAAGGGGAAGATGTCCCTCAGCAGGTTGGTGACGAAGCAGGGCATCTGCTTGCAGCCCTCGTAGGCGCCGCGGGCCTGGCAGCCCAGGGCTACGGCCGCGTTGAGGCGGGTGGCCATGCGGCTCAGCGCCAGGCTGCGCTCCTCCCCGGCCAGCGCCGCCAGCAGGGCCTGCAGGAACATGGATCCCGCGGGGTTCAGGAAGGCGCCGTAGCCTGGGGCGTGCAGAGGGAGGAATGGTGTGATGGAGGGAAGAGGGAGGGCCTCACGCTGCCCCTTATGGGAAAAAGAAGTGCTGGAAATGGAACGTTTGGGTGCCTCGGAGTCAGAGGGACAAAAATTGCGAGCGTCCAGAGGAGGGCAGTGGGGGTGGGATGGGGCTGGGGGCAAAGCGGGAGGTCTGCTCGGCACAGAGAGGAGGCTGAGGGGAGGACTTGTGGCCCTGCAGCCCCACATGGCCCTACAGCTCATTGTGATCCACCCCACATGGCCCTACAGCTCCACATGGTCCTACAGCCCCATGGTCCCACAGCTCATTGTGATCCTATGGCCCCAAATGGCCCTACAGCTCATTGTGTTCCCACAGCCCCACATGGCCTTACAGCTCCTTGTGGCCCTACAGCCCCTCATAGTCCTACAGGGCCTTACAGCTCTGCCATGACCCTACAGCCACGCATGGCCCCCCAGGAACATGGAAGCGCAGGTGCTGACCCTGCTTCTGCTGACCCTCCCTGGCGGTTTCCTCACCGGGGCTGCAGGCGAACATCACAGCGGTGTTGGGGGGGATGCACAGGTACTCTGAGAAGCTGTCTGGCTCCGGCTGCCCGCCGTCAGTCTCCACAAACACCCCCCGGTCCAGCGCAGCCCCCCGACATGCCTGCAGGCAGAACACGGCCGTTGGCTTCTCTGTGTTCTGCTCCTGAACAAGGGAGATCCAGAGGGGCTTTGGGGCTGCTGTGCCCCCCCATCCTGTGAAGAACCGTGGGGATGTGGCACTGAGGGACAGTGGGCATGGTGGGCTGTGCTGGGGTTTGAACTTGGGGGTGTCAGAGGTCTTTTCCAACCTTAATGGTTCTGTGATTCTCTCTCCCCCCAGGAGGGGGGCAGCCTCTCTTCCCCTCATGTTCCTGCAGGCTCCAGGATTACAGCAGCAGACACCAGAGCCCTCTTGGGGAGATTCCCCTCGGAGCACAGCAGTCACTGATCTATGCAATGGTTGGAGCTTTCTTCCAAGGATGGGATTTCAGGCAATGATGAGGAGCACCACCCCGAGGACACACACAGCCCCCTCCGAGAGCCTCTTCTGCTCTGCATCACTGCCTGCAGGATCCTCACGGGCTGCCTGGAAGGAGCGGCAGCACGCTGGCACTCAGCATGCCCTAAGGGGACAGCCCTAAGGGCACCCATCCTGGTCTGCAGTTCTGGCTGCTGGAGGTGGCCCCTATTGTAGCCAGGCATGCAGGCTAAGCCCTCTTTCCAGCAGGAAATGAGTGCCACCAGCAATCTGTGCTTGCTCTCACGAGAGGATTTCCATGTATTTGCACGTCTGCAGAGCTGACCTGCTGAGATCTGCCCAGGCTGCAGGTTGCTGCACTATTTACTCTCATCTAATCCTCCCTAATCCACGGAGCACTCCAGGGCTCGCTTCCTGTGGGGTGTTTCTAACCAGCCCCCCCACGCTGCTCTTTGCCCAAATATTGACGTCATGGAATCTGAGGGCAACTTTTAGCAACTCCTCAACACCCCGCTGGCATCTGGGAGGGAGGCTGAGCCCAGCAAGGTCACCTTTCCTGGAAGGGAGAAACTTGGTGAAAGTTGAGGCGGATGCAGGGCGCTCAGGGGCAGGGGAAGCACTGCTGTCCTGGGCACGGGGCTGCTGCCAGCTGGGGAGAGGTGACCTGAGAATCAGCAAAAGCATCAAAGATGGAGCAGAGTGGCGAATGGCAGCTGGGCAGCAAAGTCTGCAATTAGAACAGCGCTCGTGCCTGTCTCTGCCTGCGGAGCCAACAAAATGGGGTGCAGTTTTGCCCAGCAGTGGTGTTACCTGGATGAAGAAGACCTTGGGTGTCTGTGCGAGCACTGGGCAGTTCTGCGCCGACAAGGTGCGGAAGATGCGGGTGAGGCGCAGCGGCCTGCAGTCACAGCCCAACACGGCCCCCTCCTCCCCGTGGCTGGAGATGATGCTCACAAAGTAATCCCCGTGCTCACGGCCGCACTCTGTGGGGCACAGCCACCCTCAGCTACCAGCCTCCAGCTGAGTGCTGTGTGAGGGTGCTGGGAGGCCCATCTCCGGCTCTGAGCCCCCGCTGTGTGATGAAGGGACCACAAGGGCCTGGGTGTGGGTGGGGGTTGGTCCCTATCCGTCCCAAATTGCCTTTGGGCAGTGACGTGGGGCACTGTGGAGGTGGGAGCCGGGAGCAGGAAGGCGGTTTGGGGGCTCACCTTGCTGGTAGAGGTCCTCCATCTCCTTGGCCGTCCTGTTGTGCAGCAGCTTCACCCTGTAGTTGAGCTGCACCAGCACATGAGAGAGCTTCTCGGCTTCCCTCCTGGCTCCTCTGCGGGGCCTGAGCCCCACATCGCCATCACTACTGTGGAAATCAGTGTTGACGATGATGAGAGCCCGGCTTTGCCGTGGCCGGGACATGCTGGGGTGGCCCCTCGGAGGGCTCAGAGGCTTTTAAATCCTGGGGCAGGAGCAGCGAGAGCCGGGTGCTCCTTCGGGACACGTCTGCTGCTGATGCAGTGCCTGCAGGGCAATGCCTGTCAGCTGCTGCGGAGCCAGATTTCATCTGGGTGTGAGTCACAGGGGCAGGAGATCCGGGCTCAGCTCTGGGCACTCAGCTTGGGGAAGAGAAGGGCTGGGGAGGGCAGCAGGTTGCAGGGAGATGCCTGCAAGGTGCGGAGTGTGGGAGCAGCTGGAAAAGCCCTCCCTGCCTCTCCGCCAAGGGCTGCAGCGCTCCGCTTCCCCCGCATCCCGGCTGCTCCGGCTCCTATTGCCGGCGGTGGGAAAACCACTCCTTCGTGGGCTCCCAGCAGGACTTTAACACAGACTGAAGTCCACAGAGCAGAGCCAGCGCTGCAGTGCTCACTGCCTGGTGCTGGGGCACCCACTGATGGCACACACAGCACTGCCAGCCGCAGAGCCACCTGTGCCGCTGCAGGACGGGCACACAGATGGCTCCAAACCACATCTCCTCTCTCCTCTCCTTCCCAAACTCTGCCTTCCCTCACGCTGCTGTCCCCAGCCGCAGGACCCAGGCTCAGCCCCAATGCCAGCAGCACCCCGCTGCTCCCCCACCACAAGGCACACTGCTCCCATCACAGCACTGTTTTATTTCTCGCCTTCTCGCCCTTCCCAGCACCAGCGCAGCGGTGAAGGTTTTGGTCGTGCTCCCAGATGTTTCCCAGCAGACAGACAGACAGACGCGACATCTGCTCAGGGCAGAACCGACAGCGCCACAGCATGGCAGGGCCACATTCTTGGCAAGATCCCATCTGGAAGCACTGCTGATGCTTCTGAGCAGCTTTACATCGCCTTAAGTCAATCCATCCTGAGTGCAACCCATCCTGGCGCACAACAGCGCTTCCTCCGCTGCTCCGCTGAGCTCAGCTTGGAGCAGGGCTCCTCAGCACTGGCAATGCAGCCTGGAGCCTCTCCCTCACAGCACTGGGTGCGGAGCGTGGGAGTAGATGTGCATAGAGCATTGCAGATGTGCACAGAGCATTGTAAATGTGCACAGAGCATTGCAGATGTGCATAGAGCATTGTAAATGTGCATAGAGCATTGCAGATGTGCACAGAGCATTGTAGATGTGCACAGAGCATTGTAAATGTGCACAGAGCATTGCAGATGTGCACAGAGCATTGTAGATGTGCACAGAGCATTGTGCAGGGCTGACAGAAATGGGTCTGATGGAAAACCGGTTCAACGCTGCTCAGGCAGCTCTGTGTGCAGAGGGAAGGATTCATTCCTCAGCCTCCACCATCCCGGGCATGGAGGCACCATGAGAAGCTTTCCCAGCCTCATTCAGACCAAAGCTGCTGCCTGCAAGGGAAAAGCAGCTGTGTGGGGCTCACTGCCCTCAGCCAGGCAAGCACCCATGGAGCTGGATGCTCCTCTCGCAGCCCAAGTGGAGGGCATCCAGCGGTGCTGGGTGGTGCAGTGGTTGTGTAGGATCTTCTTTTCCTTGTGTTGGGAAAAGGGCTTTTCCCTTCAAACAGGCAGTGGGGAGGAGGCAGCAGTGTGCGTGGCGGTGCAGTGAGATGAGCTGCAGTGGGATGGGACCCTGCTGGGAGCAGGAGCGGCTTCACGACCAGCGTTGATCCCACAGAGCCATTAGGGAAGAGCAGAGCTAGCTATCCAAGCAAGCCATCAGGGAGGGGAGGGGGTCCCGCCGGTGGGACCCAGCCTCAGATCTTCTTCTTGCTATTGGAGCTCTGCACGCGCTTCCACAGCTGCATGGCGTCCAGGTAGATGTTGCGCTTGAGGACGGCGCTGGTGCAGAGGAAGGCTCCCTGCAGTGCTCCGGCGAAGCCACACAGAGCCACGTCCTGCCCTGCGAGACAGAGGGGACAGTGCCACCCCCAGCTCTGCATCCCAGCCCCTCTTCATCCCCAGCACGGAGAGGGCTTTGCCTTGCCCAGCTCAGCACAACAGTGCCAGGTGGGGAGGCTGCACCCGGGGCTGGGGGACTCGCGATGCCCCCCATTGGGGCTGAGTGGCTCGGAGGAACTTTGATGCGGCCCAAGCATCACCCCGTAGCGTGGCAGCAGCTCATCCCAGTATTTCATAGCAGGATTGAAGGCTTCCCCAGAGTCACCTCCCGGAACGGAGGACGCGGTACCTGTCAGGTAGAGGTTGGGGACAGCGGTGTGCGGCCGTGCGGTGGCGATGGCTTCGATCTGCGTGCGCGCCATGTCGTGCTCCATGCCGTAGAACTCCCCGCGGGGGCTGGCGATGTAGTGCTGGTTGGTCAGCGGTGTCCCCCCTGAGACGTGCTCAACCTGTGGGGGACAAAAGGACACGGAGGTCCCAATGGAGCAGGCCACAGTGTGGGGTGCCTCGTGCTCAGGAAAGCTGTTTTTATGGGGCACGGTATGGGACAAACCTCCTTGCAGACTTTCGGGTGGTGGCTGAGGCCACGTTTGGTCCGACGGGTTGGTGCCCCTCTGCCCTGCCAAACCTCACCCCTGCAGCCCCAGTGTGTGCTGGGCAGGCAGGAGCCGGGATCTGACCCCAACAGCCCCAAACCCCGTGTCCCCTCACCTTGTCCTCGATGTGGGGGTACAGTTTGAAGACGGTCTGCATGATGGCGTCCACAAAGGTCTTCTTCACGTCCTCATAAGCATCTCCTCGCTTATGGACTGGCCTGTCCTTCCACTCCTCAAACCACTCGTACTTGGCCATGGTGATGATGGACAGCGTGCTTTTACCTGCAGGGAGACAAGGTTGGGGCATGCATCCCTCTGCCACCTGGTGCCACAAACCCCAAATCCCCATTCTCACACCAACATTGGGGCAGCTCTGGTCCCAAGCCTTTGGTGCAGGCATCCAGCAGAGCCTCTCCTCCCTTCCTTGTATCTGCAGTGAACTTTCCACAAGCTCAGCAGCTTGGAGGCCCTCGGCCCGCTTTCCGAATGAAACCAACTCACAGCCCCCATTTGCAGAGACCCGCAGTGCGACGTGGCAGCACTGGGGGTTGGCCAAGGAACCCCCGCCTGGTGAGGTTCAGCAGCGCTGCATCACCTGGGTACCGCATCTCCCACGTGGGGTCTTTGGCAGACGGGCTGGTGACAAACAGCAGGGGGATGTTGGCGGCCGCCTCGTCGCGGGAGCTGCTGTAGTAGCGCCGCATTCTGCAGAGAGACGCAGAGGTCTGGGGTGCGGCTGGGGCTCCGAGTCCCCACCCAGAAACCACCTCTCCTCCATGCTTAGCGAACGTACATTTGGTCCAGATTGGTATCTGGGTAGATGTAGTAGTTGGTGGCTTCCAGCCCCAGCTCCTGGCTCGAGCCTCTGAGCCCCACGAATACGGAGAAGCCAGCTTCGCCGTGAGTCGCCATGCGCAGCCGGGACTGAATCTCTGCGGAACGAAGGAAGGGGTGGAAAGTGAGGGTGGAGAGGAAGCTGTGCGCAGCCCCACATCGCCCCCATCACTGCAAATCTAGCTGAGAGCATCCCATGTGCACCCATGGGGCGGGAGGACCCCTGGGAGCCATAAAGCGGTGGTGCCTCCCTGTCCGGGGAGGTTTTGCTGATTGGTCCGTTCCCATTTGGGAGTTTTAGGGCAAGCCCAGTGTGGGGCTGGGTGTATTTAACCATGTTCTGTGATTCCCGTGCTCCTTTTCTGAATGCCTGCAGTCCCCAGCAGGTTGCACTGGGCTTTGCCGCTGTCTGGGAAGGAATTACCACGACACTCACTGATGGTTGGAGCTGAGAGGGTATCAGTGCCCTGATCCCAATTAAACCCAGCACTGTACGGGGGGCTTTTACCAGGCAAAGCGCGCGCCTCGGGCGGCAGCAGCCGCTCATAGGTGTTGAATATCCCCGCATCCGAGATGACGATGGGAGCAAAGATGTTCACCACGTCCTCGCCCTTCTTGACGCTCACACCTGGAAGGGAGGAGGGCTGAGGGTAATGGCAGCACAGAGGGAACGGGGGGGAGCCGCGTCCCGGATGCGTCGCTCACCGCAGGCTTTGCCCTGGGAGTCCAGCAGGATGCTCTGCACCGGCGCCCGGCCCAGCACGTTGCCACCGGCCCTCTGGATGATGGGGATGGTGCGGAAGACGATCTCCCCCGAGCCGCCCTTGGGGTACCATGCGCCCCACAGGTAGTGGTGCAACACGATGCTGTGCAGGGAGAAGCTGGCCTTGGAGGGCAGCACGCCTGGAAGGGGAGCACAGCGCGGTCTTACTGGGTTTGCAGCATAACCCAAAGGGGTTGGGATGAGGGATGGTTTGGCTGGAGGGATGCGTGTGGGAAATGAGGAGCAGAGGAGCAGAGGTCCGTGTGAGGAGCTGGCACTGACGTGCCTGGGGCATCGCCCCGCAGATCTGGGTTTCACAACCCTTGGCTGCGCTCCAGCATCCTGAGTCACTCAGAACTGGGACAGGAGGGAGGAAAGTCAGGGCCAAAGGGCTGTGGGCGCTGGGTCAGGGCAGGACAGCCACTCCTCCACCTGCGGGGGTACTGCAGTCTGCAGGGAAGCTGAAGGACTTGGGAAAGGCCCCGGGATGGGGTGGGTGCAGAGGATGCAGCACACGGCGTCCTGCCCTCAAGGGTTCCATTAAGGTGGTGAAATGCAAAGGCAAAGCGGGGGTGTGAGGTGGGACAGGTCTGGTGTGCAAAATGAGGGCCTCTAAAAGGAAAGGAGGGGAAGGGAAAGGGAAAGAGGAAAGAATAAAGGGGAAAGGGGAAAAAAGGAAAGAGGAAGAGAAAGGAGAAAAAGGGTGAGAGAAGAGAAGGGAAGGGAAAGGGAAAAGAAGGGACAGGAGAGGATAAGAAGCCTTTTGTTTTTGCTCTTAAAGGATCCAACTTTGCTCTGGTGTGCCCGAGCGCCCTGGCAATTTACCGTAGGTGGGGAAGATGTAGCTGAACACGGCCCTCAGCTTGGCGTTGGTGGTGAGGCCATCAACCACGTCCTTAATGCTGCGTGAGGTCATCTGGCAGAAGGGGCTGAGCAGGGACAGCAGCCCCGAGCGGCTCAGCAGCCGCACCAGTGGCAGTGGCAGCAGTTTTAGCACACCCAGAACCCAGAACCCAGTAGTGACACTCTGCAAGAGAGGAGAGCAATGTGCAGAGCTCACTGGGGGGACCTTTAGGGACTCCTGAGATCATCTTGAGAATCCCTGGGGACTTCTGAGGAACCCTTGAGCAATTTTGGGGTCCCCTAGGTCACCTTAGGACCCCTTTGGGGACCTCTGGGTACCCCCCCACTCTGGGGGAGGCTGCCAGGGGATGGATGCAAAATGGGATTTCTCCCTTTATCTGCTATTAGGAAATGGCACTAATGTGAATCTGCAGCACTGTGGGGAGGGGAGCACCCGACCCCACAAAACACCCCCAGAGTGCAGCCCCATTTCCCAGGGGTGGCAGAGCACAAATCCCACTTTCACCCCACGTGATGTTAATGGTGATGACCCAGGAAGTCCTGGAGCATCGCCCCACAAATGTGGGGACTGCAGGGTCTGTGCCCCCCGTGCCCCACTCAGAGCACAGCT